ATAACTACATTGAACTTTAAAAAATTATCAATAAATACCCAATAGCTTTTTAAAAAATATTTATTAAAAAGTAGTTTATATCTAACATATATAATATTGCAATCCAATAATAAAAAAATAAATTACTAATATAGAGAGGGATTTACAAATATAGAGAGGGATTTACAAATATATATATATACACACACAAACACAAACACATGAAGACAATACGAAAGAATAAAGATGACAAAGATGCAAAACAAATAATAAAAGTCCAAAATAATGTGAAAAAATATCAGTTTAAGAAAGAGAAAATATAAGAGATATATGTATTAAGTTAAGTCTAAATTAAAATACATAACAATAACATAAGTATATGATGAAACAAACCAGAAAATTGAAAGTGCTTTAAAGAAAGATGGAAAATAATTGATACACGTTTTAATTCGACACATTTTTTAACATTTATTTGGTTCAACCATTAAAATATGACTACAATTGCATTAGTCGGTTCTTATATCCTATATATATTACTGTATCTTTAAGTTTATATATTTTTAATTGTAGATTAGAAAATAATGATTTTTTAATAAATATGTTGTATAATGTGTTGAATGAAAGATGTATCAATTAGTGTCTTAGAAAGATGTATAATATATCACTAATTGGTATACTCTTTAATTCAGCATACTATCAATACATTTATTTAAAAAATCATTATTTTTTAATTTAAAATTAAAGATAAATAAATTTAAAGATATAATCATGCATACATGATATCAAAACTAAATAAATTGATTATATTTATATAATATTTTAATAGTTGAATTTAGCAGTAGTGAAGAGTGTTGAAGAGTGTGTTAAACTAAAAGGTGTACTAATCATTTTCTTACAAAGTAACAAATTATGAAATTAGTTTTTATTTTTTAAAATTAAATTGATTAAAATTTTAAGCTTAAATATTTTTTATCCCTACAATTTAAACTTTTTCTTAATTAATACATTTATTTATTATTTTAGAAACTTATAATTCTTAAAAATCTTAAAAAAATAAAGACAAACTGTGCAAAAGATGACTTAAGGTGTTAAGCATAAAAGTTTGAAGTAAATAACTAATTAAATTTAGATGTGGTAGGATACAAATAATCACCTAACTTTCATGACTCAGACATTTTTCTTTTACTGTACACTTACTAAAACTATTTGAAAAGTAATTGGAATACATTCTGGTTTAACATATTTTTCAATACTTGTTTGATTTAATTATTAAAATATAATATAAGTACAATCAATTCAATTAATTTTTATATCTTATATGTATAATTGTATTTTTAAATTTATATATTTTTAATCTTAGATTAAAAAATAATAATTTTATAATAAATATATTTTACAATCTATAAACTATTCACTCTTCCTCCCGATGCAAACACGTGGAACTAGCTGGTTTACACCTTACACGCGCTATTGCCTTATTACCACCATTATTGGCTTGCCAGATCCAAATAATCTTGAAAGGAAGCAATTTGCAAATGCCATGCTTAATGCTATTTACAAAGGGAAGTGTTGGAAAGTAAGAGACTTATTTGAAAGCAATCGAGCTGATGCAATATCTACAACATTTGAAAAGGGGCAAACTGCTCTTCAGGTTGCAATTACTGCTGGTCAGCTAACGGTTGCTAAGGAATTGATTACTATTACTAGTGAAGCAAACATAGACCACTTGAGGACAGCAGATAAGAATGGCAACACAGCTCTTTCCTTTGCTGCTCGTAGTGGAATGATGGAAATTGCAAAACGCTTGATTAAAAAGAACAAGGTCTTGCTTACTATCGCAAATCGCGACGGAATGCTCCCGGTTCAATTGGCGTGCAGGGCAGGCCATGAGGACATGACTCGCTGCCTCTACCGCAAGACCCTGAAACTGAAAGAACGTCCAAAGAAAGACTATTTCTTCTACCTCCTCGAAGAGTGTATAACTAAGAAAATGTTTGGTAAGAGCTCTAACATGCATCTTCTCTTTCTATAATTTTGTTATTTCATTTTTCTCTAACAAATTAACTTAATTTGACATGTATCAGAAATTGCACTTCATCTCCTTTATCACTTTCCAGAGTTTGCAATATATAAAATCTTTAAGAGGGATACCGCTCCGATCATTTTAACTCTTGCTCAAACACAACCATTCTTTAGAAGAAATCAACTATCATTTTGGAGACGATGGATATATAACTGTTAGTATCACTTTTCTTTATCTCTTTAATTTTTAACATAATTTCTCTTTTAATATATTTTTCGGCTAAAAAATAGAGTATTTTGGGATGTTGTGCATGCCATCTTTCTTTGTTTTCCAATATGCTTTTCTGAATTTTTTAGCGTATTAAATGCTATTTTTTTTTATTGCAATTGTAACTGAAGCTATAAGAGTGAAGGTAGATAAAGGAAGTGTTCTATCTGATGGTGTTGGCAGTGTTGCAGCTCAACGAAGAGGTATATGGTAGTTATGAGTTTCCTTTCCTTTTTCTCACTAATAACTTCTGTAGGGATTGTTGGTTAAATAGAAAGGCAATCATTTATTATACCAATGAAATAACTTTTTTATTTTAAAAAAATTATGAATATAACTCATTCGTGGTTGGAACACTGATTTTAATATCCGAAATTCTTGAAAAGTAATAATGTCCATCAAATGAGTCTTTTTTCTTTTTCTTTTTTTTTTTCTCCTTCTCCTAATAAGCTTTTGTTATTGATTCTCTTTTTTTTTTTTTTTCGGCCTTTTGTTCTTAATTCTTATTAGTAGAATTGAAGCAAAATATTTTTTTTTTTCAACAGCAACGAAAATATATGATTTAAAGTTGATGGACGCAACTGCCTGTGAGATTATGCATTTTATATGTCGAAAATTATCAGCTTTGGATGAGGATGAATTTGTGCAAAGTGGAGCAGTGGAAGCAACCTTTCAAGCTATC